TTGTGCTCTCGGTCCTTCTGGAGGCCTTAGCTCCCTAGGAGGTAACACCTTCAGTATATCTCTCACCGTACCCAGCAATAGGCCTTGCACATCGTTAGTCTTCGATAACTAATTGCCACATTAGAGAGTCATCACAGCATATCCAACAAGCAGCCAGAGATGGTGAATTAATCACTTACTAAAGGAAAAACAGCACCACGCTCTCGACCCAGCCACGCTGTTTAAAGGCAGCAGCACCAAAAACTCGCAAACACAGCCAAAGAAGAGGGTGGTGGGGGAGTAGCGGGGGGAGAGAGAGAGATCTCTGTGAGCAGATATATGTAGGCAGTGATTATTCATCTAGACACTGATTCTGCCAGGGGGTTGGGGTTGAGTCCCAAGTAAACGTAGATGCAGCGAGGAACTCCGCGCAAGAAAAATGGTTCCGTCACCAGAGAAGAAGATCAGACGCATTATTACGTGACAGAAGTTATAACAATCAAAATTACGAAAGGCTTTTGTTTTATGTTGTGTCTAAGAAAGCACACTCGGGGCAAGTTAAAAAAAAAAAAGAAAATGGAGAAAAAGAGAAGACACGTTAATATGGATATCATTATGTAGGGTATCCATTTTTTAAAAAAAAAACAGCACTAAATTATTTGAAGTGAAAAGAAGACTATGAGGAGAGAGGTTGCAAATAAGCCCCATAAGAGAGCAGAATCAAAGACATGCTGAATTAATGTAAAGTGTAAACTCAATGGATGAGAAGTAAGGGCCAAGATAAATTATAGGAGGTGAAAGGAGCAGCAGGGGCTGGGGGAGGAGAGATGAGAAACAAACAAACGAAAATCAGATGAAGAAGCCCAAATGGAGCAATAGGACCAGGTGAAAAAAATTAAAATTTTTTAAATCCTTTTTTCTAAAAAAAAAAAAAAAAAGCAAAACCTCACAGAATTGTAAAAAAAGAGGCAAGGCTCCGACATAAGGCAAAGACGCATGCAGAGTCATTACGAAAACTCAATGTGTTTTCTGTTTAGTTTGGTTGCTTTGTAAATCTGGAACCATTTTGACATGTGGAAATATTCATTTTGATGTGCTTAAAGTGTATTGATTATGGTAATTGTTTTTTCTGTGTTAGTTGCAGTCCATTGTGATTTCCTATGGGCTACTGTAATTGCTTTTTAACCTGCCCTGTTGGCTAATTTGGTTCGGGGGAGTCAAGGTGACCTCTGCATGTCAGCCTCACTGTAATTACAAGACAGGAGTAGCCACGTCCAGTCCAAGAAGAGAAATGGAGAAAGGTGGAGCGTGTGAATGTACGTGCACCTCAGAGAGGAGCTATGGGCACGGAGGGAACCAGGAAAAGGAACATTTTTGTTGTCACTGCTCATTGAGCCGGGGACTTTCGGCTCCAGGCCGTGTGGAAGGAACAGTGCCACGACAGAGGCCTAACTATCATTTTGTAGAATCCAATACACTCACTTACTTGCCTTAGAAGAAGGGAAACCACTTCCTAATCCATTGTCATGGTCCCTGCATTTTGCCTTTCTTAGTCATGGTTCTGTCCCCATTTTGCTTAAATTAAAAGAATTCTCCAAATTCCTGTAGCATGCCATTTATACTTTGCAATTACATAGTCAGATATGTGAACTGTCAGTTTGAAATGTGATTTGTATCCATACATATCAGGATCACTGCCCCGGTCTATGCCTGGCTCTGGGATTATGAGTCCATATTTACGTTTGTGGTGTGAGTCAGCTATTAAAAAAGTAAAATGATCCTGATTTGCAAAAAGTCACAATGTACCTCACACCAGGGTCTCTATTTTTCTTTTTATCGTTCTGTCCTTCATCATGTAACATATTAATGAATGTATGTTCTATCAATAGCTAGTGTTTACTGAGCTCTAACAAGTACTAGACTTGGTTATCTCATTCAATCCTTGAAACAGCTGTATGCGGTAGGCACTGTTATAATCTCCATTTTACAGAGGAAATGGGGGCTTAGCAAAGTTAAGAAACTTGGCTATGATAACCCGCGTCGTAGCTGGTGGAGCTGTGATTTAAACTCAGCTAGCCTGACTTCTGAGTCTACGCTTTTATCCTGTATACGTATCACAAACTGATTTTATCATTAGTTTTACCTTGGTATAAAACTATAGTGACTTGGTATAGATTATAATGACTCCCTCTTCAGATAATTCATTTTTCCAATAAGTATTTAATGAGCTTCTCATACATACCAGGCAACTCGACTGGGTGTTGGAATTATATGGAAAAGCAAGACAGGCTCTCAAAAAGCTTATTTTCTAGCAAGAGAGAAAACAATACATAATTAAATAAACGAATGAAATAAAATAATTAGGTTGGGATTAGTAGTATAAAGACAATAAATAGGATACTGTGAAAAAGAATAAGAGAGGGAAACCAACTCTGGAAAGTGTAGTCAGGGAAGGCTTCTCTGAGGAGGTGACATTTAAGCTTAGACCTGAAATCAAGGAGCCAGCAGGTAGGAGTTAAGGGAGGAACATTCTAGTCGGATGGAAGGGCAGTATGTTCAACACATCCAGCTCCCTGCCGTAGATATTTGAATTCTAAACTATCCAGGATACACGATTTCATTTTTTTTCTTTATAGGGTCGGGTAGTGCAAGAGTCAACAGTCTCTCGCAGGTCCGTGTCAGTGTTCTCATGTAGTTTAAACATTCTGTATTCACCAGAAAAAAATTAGAAATCACGGCTACTCTTTCTGTTCTTCTTAACATGTTGGTGTATTTCCTTCAAACCAGGTTTTTACGCTAACATTTCTTGTTTGCCTACTATGTGCCGGACTGCGAGCTTTGCATGCATTATTTTACTCCCCCAAAGAACCCCATGAGTAGGACCTATTAGTCAGTTTTAAAAAGGAAAAAAAAACAGGCTGAAGGAGGATAAATAACGTGCCCAGGAACACCCAGCTATAAGCAGCAGAGCAGGAATCTGAGCCCAGAACTGCCTGACAGCGGAGTCCCCACTCTAACCACGGCGGCCTCGCCTTTATGTGAATCCACGTTGCGTTTTTTCAGAAAAGAACTTGCCTCCTGCTTTTTTTGTCTTAATGTATTTTCCATGTCATTAAATATTTTCTGGGTTTTTTCTGATTCTTTGTTTTCTGTCTTTTGCTGTATAGATGTGTTCTGTTGGCTTTTATCTAACTCCAGTGATTCATTCAGAAGGTGTGCTTTCTGTTTTTCATTCTAGTAGCGATCATCTTTGAACTAACCAAAGACCACCCAAATGAGAACACACAGAGGCTGTTTATTCAGAGCTTGCTGCAGCGAGGGAGTCAGCCGCCATCCCTTGTGTTTCTAGGAAACTCGAAGGCAGGAGGGGAATGCAAAAGCTCTAGAGGAAAGGAAGGGTTCATGTCTGCTTTCTGATTTGAGGTTGTCCCCATTGGGGACGCTATCGGGAAGGGGGGCATCTTATGGGATTGGTTTGGGGAGCACAATTCTCTGGTTGGTCCTGAGCTGGACAAAGGGAGGACAGAGAACTGGACTTTTGTGGTCACTGGCCAAGTCTTGCCCATTCTAGGCCAGTTGCTACAGAGGTTGTAGTTGGGCTTCCTCGTTTGGTTGCCCCTAAGGTTTGGGGTTGTAGTTGTTTGGTCACTTTTTATTGTCTGGCCATTTGTATATCAGTTTCTCACTTTCAAAAAATATATATTTTTGAGCCTTTTAAAAATCATTCCAAGTAAAAAAATGATACCATGTGGTCAGTGGGTTATGAGTCACACTGAAATCCTCCGCCCATACTCACTTCCTTTTGATTTTGTTAACTAACCTGGGATTTCCAACAAAGCTTAGTTGTTATAAATGGATTGATTTTAGATTACATTATTTTCCATTTCAAAATGTGACCAAAATTTAGGTTTTATGTTTTTAGTGTTTATAGCCCGTCTTAATACGTCAGCACCTCCGTTTCTGAGTTCTTGAGTCCATAGTTTTGATTCGAAATTTTTCCCAGTCTTTTATAGGCCTGAGACTTCCTTTCTGTTCCACTTGCCTCATCTGTAAAATGGTATTAAGTCCAATAATAATACATTAAAAGTGCTTAGCACTTGTATGCTTAGCACTTGTATGT